CACATATGCACTCTGAGAGCACAATTCAGCAAACCGACATTTGCGAGCAGTGGAACCAAAGCTTCAAGACCAGAGCGAACTCCTATAAGAACTGCCATAGCGACCTAGAGACCTAGAGATGTCCATAACATACTTAAATTATGGAGGGAACACTTTTCCACCCTATTGAATGGTAGCAGGACTGAAAGTTGTGGAGAAGACGAACGCGAAACCCCAGTCGAGGAGTGAATAGCAATTATGCGGCTGAAAAACAACAAAGCTTCAGCATGTGACTATTCAAGTACAAGATGAGCTATTCAAATACATGATGAGCTAATCAAATGCAGAATATGGTCACATGAACACATGCCCGACGACTGGAATTTAATTATGCTCTGACCAATCCACAAGAAGGCAAACCCGCGCCAACTGCATAGGTTACAAGGTTTATCGCGTGTATTGTGGGAAATACTGAAGCCACCATAGACCAGGTATTCACAAAACTCCAAATCATGGAAATGGCCCGCGAGAAAATGACGACACTCACCATCTATTTATCGACTTCTATGTCGCTTTCAACATCACTCAAAGGAGTTGCCTATACGCCGCGATGTCTGAATTTGGCATTCCCGCGAAACTGATACGGCTGTGTTAGAATACGTGACCAATACTACCAGCTCCGTCAGAATTGGGAAAGACGTCTGCGAGCCGTTAGCTACCAAACGGTGTTTCAGACAGGGCGACTCCCTTTAATATGATTTAAACCTCATCTTGGAGAAGATAATAAGATCTGCAACACTGCTCAGGAGCAATTGCTGGCGTATGCCGATGACAAGAACCGCGAAGTCTGTTCTGCCTTTCCAAGTTGGATAATGAAAGCAAAGCGATTGGTTATCAAACAAACAGTAACGCCTTGGCACTCACGGCACTGATGTCAGTTATAATTTCGAGAAAGTAGAGAAGTTCGTTTACTTGGGAACGAGCATTAACACCGATAATATTGTCAGCATCGCAATCCAGTGCAGAATCACTTTTCCCAACAAGTGGACTGAGTAGGCAATTGAGGAGTA